GGTAGGTTGAAGAATGCTAGTCGTCGGTCTATGCTCCACGAAGGGTGATAAAGGACAGTAAATAAAGTTTGACATTTTTCTAGGTGAATCATAGTTTCACTTAATGTTTTGTTTCAAACCCTCAAATATAAAATTGTCATTTCAATTTTTTGACATTTAAAAATAGATGATTATGAAACTCGTTACAATGGTATCATATGAATGTAAGATCCATTTTTGAAGGCTTTGTTTGCAAAAATCCCTCCATGTAAATATTTGTAATTCGTTATTATGGATTCCTTCAGTTATACATTTTGTTAACCTGTTGGATTCCATTTTGAGATGGATGATAATATTTGTATTTTATTGTTATAGTTTCTGCTTCTTTTGCCTGCGGTGAGTTTCTATGTGTTTCTTTCTGAACTGCATTTATGTTGTTTAAGCTGATACTCTTAGTTTTGGCGGCAGCCATATTGACTTGTCCCTGTTTTGATTGTGTTGCTTGCATGGACCGGAATTATGCATTTTGATTGTGAATTGAAGCATTCTTGCAGAATAAGAAGCACTCTGTGTTATAAAGCAACCAAATATTATCTGTCAAACGAATGTGATCTATTCAGGAGGGATAGAATAATATTTATTTGCTGCTACTGATTTGATTAGTTGAACAATTGTTGGTGGAATAACTGAGTGGTAATATTTGTTTAAGTAATAATGATGTGCATATATATTTATGATAAATACTAGAACCGTCATTGACCCAAATCACTTGTTTTTTGTTTCAACTGGGCAAGGCGCGTATCTCAACTACCAAGACAGTCATTACTCAGTCCTAACCTCAGTTTAGATCCTACATGAATGATATTATCTCTTGTAAAGCTAATAACATGTACCTCATACAGAGAGTGGGAGAATAATAATATTTGATCTAACGGATAAACGCCTTTAAGGGTGGAATTTCAACATGATAATTCAAATAAAGCTCAATTGAAACTATTGATCAAAGTTATAGGTGAAAATTTTCAAATAGCGCTGAAGTATGTATGTAATGTGTGTGTCTACAAGTATGCTGAGCCCATACAGCTTATCCCAGCTTTTGGACAGTCTAAATAATCTTTTCTACCCAATTGATTCATCACTAACTAATCTTTCGACCTTGTCAATTATTCGTTTATATTTTGGTCACTGTTATTATTCGAATGTGTGATGCTTACTTCGCTTACTACACGTCTGGTTTATTATTATTGCCTGACTGTAAGTACTTAGTTATGCTCTGTCTCACTGTGTTGGCTCACTCTCCTTCACCACTTCCTTTGGCTTTACCTTTACGCATCGTATTCTGAAGTTTGTCAGCTTTAATCAATACATGAAATAAATTCGTACGTAAAACCATATTTGATTTCTTATTATGGTCGTCGTAGTACAAACTGGATTTCACCAAAGAATGATGTACACAAAATGAAGGGAAGATTTATTTCATAGTTTATTCGTTCGCCCAACCAAACTGGAGTCAGATTGTAGTGAAGGAGAACACAGAGTTACTCAGTAAAATCGGACAACCATATCGTAAATCGTTAATTTGCAAAATATCAGTTCATCATATCGAACTGAACTGTTCCTGTTGCAAAATATCAATCCATTGTCACTATTCATGCGTTTCATACAAATTCCATTGTGTTCTAACTCTTCCTTTCTTGATCTTCCCCCATCTTCTGCTGCCAGACATCACGTTGACACTCACATCATATACTACTTATAAGTAGCTCACACCACAAGATCACGGGCCATCAAAGTGCTGGTTCCTGCTTCGAATTCAACATAGCCTACTTGAAGTTTGTATTCCACGTAGTTAAAAAAACATAGAACACTCTATATGATCGGTCCTTTATCAACATTTGAAGTAAAGAGTATTACAAGAGTATGATACGAAATACATTCTAATTAAAAATTTACAACCTAATCAATACTCAAAGTAATTTTTATCTTTCTACAGCTCAATTACAAATGTATTGAGATCAAATAGTTTGATGAGAGAGATTATAAATCGTGTTTAAACGACAAAGAATTTAACTTTGATGAATAAATTTAAGTTTACATTGTGTTGTAATTTGGTTTACTGATGTTAACTAACTTTGACCAGTTATTTTTTTCTGGCAATATCAACATACTAAGTTTCATCAACAATATGAAATTAGACTAAACTTTACTATTAAAGTTTACATTGATTTTAATTACTAGAAGTATTGAATTCTGAACTGTCAAGTCACAGATTCAAATCACTATTCGCAAATAATTCATTGACTGAAGAGGATTCACATTATAGTGTTTTAGAGATTGTTGAAATGATGGGTTTGACTCCCGCGAGTGCAAGTCATGATGCACATTGCCGGTGATTCTCATACTAGGACGAAACGGCTGTCCAGTGCTCTCAGGTTTCTGATGGTGGTCTAATAGTGAGTACGATTAGTTAACTACAGTAAAATACTTGAATACAAGGATATATCGTGAAGACTGTTAGTTATTTTCATAACTAATTGTAGTTATGTCATCACTATCCAATAAAATTGTGGTTTAAGCGCCCACCACGTGATCTGATCTGACATGTCTGTAAACTTTCTTTGTTGTAAATGACCGACTAATTGAAGGTCGTTATTATCTTATTATATTAATGTGACTCATAATTTTATTCATTTCTATAAGACAAGCTATACTGGTCGGTATGTTTGCCTGTCTTACTTGATAATTGTAATTACCTTATTTATTGTACTAATTTAATTGCTTTTATGTTTAGAAACAGATTAAGTTTAAAGCAAAAATTGATCTTGTTCTGACTACAGCTTTCCCATAGACTCTGTGCTCGCCAATATTGCGTTTACAGTTCTAGAAGTTCGTCTGTAGGACAAATTAAATCCTACAGACTTAAATATGATTACTGAATGATAGTTCCATATACCAAGATATTTAGCTTAGATGATACTTTCATTTCAGTTCTCTAATTTGTGAGATTTTTCTCGTGTTAATTAGAATAAATACATTTTTGGAATCATATTAGTTTCCAGTCTATAAAAAACTTGTTGTATGCTGCGATCTACTATCATCCGGTAATATTTAGTATCAAAAAGTTCATGTCAATGTACCAACAGACTTTTACGGTTGTCAACAGCCGCTCACATATGAACATTGATTTACATAAACAAAGTGGCAACATTATAAATTGAATCATGAGATAAGTATTAAATTAAATACTTCATATTAATAAATAGATGAAGATAAATATTTCTGCCCTACATATCAGTCACAGCTTAAAAATAGATCAAGCGGACGGCCCCAATCCGTATAGCTGTGTAATATGAGACCATATCCAATAAACGGGCATGAAATCCTTCACGATTTTTAGGTACACCTTACATATAAACGCCTACTACCGTGAAACCTAAAGCTTACGGTTTCCTGTCAGTCAGTCAACAGCAACGTAGAACTTTGTACGTACGTACATACATCAGTTCAAGTTGCCACACCACATTAGCACAGAGATGCAAGTGTAACTTCGGATCCCACAGTAGTAGAGGTAGTAAAGATATTAGCAGTAATCAAAGAGGTTAGGGTTTGAAGAGATTATTCAAGAAGTATAATTCAGTGAAAACAACATAAAAAGAGAAAGTGATGAGGACCTCTGAAGTTTAGGATTTGGGGGAACACAAAGAATAAATGCACCGGAGCCATTGCAAACGGTTTTGAGCCATGTTATTCAATATCCCTAACCATCGATTATTCTCATCTCGCGAGCCCCAACCAGGTAGCCTACATTTAACAACATGACTGAATCCAGTTGTAAGTGACTTCATGCATTTGTGTCATATGTTCGTTTGACCACTCTTAGCTTTCACCCAACCTACTACTACACCACAAAACATAGCTCGACAAGGCCGTTGGTGGCTGGGCATTCGTAACACATGTCCTAACCACCTTAATTGATCAAGTTTCAATATTTCATCTATTGACCTGACATCCTTACCTAGCAAACGTTACCTAACAACAGCATTGCTTATTCGGTTGTTCCATGATACACAAGCAATGCTTCGGAGACACCTATGATCCAAAAACCAATAACCTACGTATATCTTCTACTCTCACTGGCCATATTTTATAGCCATAAAGTAAGACGTAGAGAACTACTGCGCAATACACTCTTTCTTTAATCAGCAAACGGATATCTCGCGCCTATGCCATAAGTGACGCTTTCCTGTCAAACACCTTGAACCCTCAAAACATTAAAACAAAGAACAGTTAACAAGCATGGCAAAAGTATTTTTTTTATTGAAAGGGGCAAGAAACAAGAGAGAAAAAAAAACAGGAGAACAAAATTATTTTCTGCAAGCAAAATGTATAACAGCATGCATGTGTTTTTTTTTACAATATGCAAAAAAAATGTGTGTTTTACAAAAACACAACCTCTCTTTTACATAAAAACACCAAAACGGAAACAAGAAAACCTAAACAAAGTATAGAGATTTGTTTGATTTCAGTAAAACTGGAGTAGGAGGAGGAGGAGGAATAAAATCACACTTGATTTATACGACGGTGTCGTAGCTACCGTCATCGTCGCCGCCGTCTTTGTCATACACAAAGTTATCCACAACAATAGCACAATGTGAATTAATGGTGAGTGTGAAAATTCTTTTCTAAATCAAACGAACAAAAAGTTAACCAACATACAGTAAAGCGTATGTCAATCGCTTTAACAGAAAAAAGAAACACACTAAAGAATTACATTCTAGAAAATTGTTTAATCGCATAAACAAGATCCATTTTCAAATAGTTTATTATTATTATTATTAAGGTAGGTAAAGTAGGAGAACCAATGAATGTATCATGATTATGTGATGAATATAAGTAGTTGAAAGTAGTACTAATTAATAATTGACAAAAAAAATGCAAACAAAAAAAGTGTTTATATATTACGTTTTATTACGTCGTTAGAGTTATATTACTATCAGTAATAATAATAGTAGTATTAATAAGTAGTAGTAGTAGTAGTGGTAGTAATAGTAGAAGTAGTGATATTAGTGATGATCGTACAGTTATAGTTATGCAATAATGTACGTTCAATTGAAAGTAAATAATGAAGACTTATCGATTAGAAGATCACTTTTGTAGTGTGCAGAGCACAACATGAAAAGACACAAATCAATGGCGTATTAGCCATAGAGAACAAAAATTTCTATTGTTAATATCCTATGTAAATAAACACACGCACACATACAAGAAAAAATTGGTATAAATTCCTAAGAATAATCTAAGAAAAAAAAAAACTGGACGTATTCAACAAAACGAACAAGCAAATTCTCTAATGAATGCATATTCAGCTGAGGATCGAACGAATTGAAGGGGACAACAAAGAGAAGCAGTTTCTTTTTTTTTTCACAATTCATTGTAACAAATCTTGTTAGTTTCTTCTGGATTCTAGAATCTACATAGATACGATGTACAGAATAGACAATTAATTTCTCGATTTTTTGTTTTACTAATCAAGTAAAAAATCAAATATACCGCACTAGTCTAGTGATTTAAACAAAAAAGGAACTTGTTCAATGTAATTGAACCGATTGTTTTGTAGAATGATATTATCTAAGTATGTATGTCATGAACATAAAGAGAGCGAGGGAGAGAGTAAGGTAAGAGGTAAAGAGAAACATTATGGTGACAGAGGTATACAGATAAACGAAAAAATTGCAAGTTAACAAGTAAAAAATAAACACACACACACACACACGAGCAAAATAACACCCTCAGAGAATGAAACAACAAAAACAATTCACAGATAAAAAAGGGCCTGACATAAGTGAGCAACACCGCCAACAGCAACAACAACAAACAACTGAAAGTAGACACGCATAGTTCCCTGTTCGCTTACAAGTTTACTAACAATAACAACAATACTCGTGTTCATTGATAGTTTCGGCGCTTTACATTCAATACACATTGTTATTATTATTATTATGATGATGATGATGTTGATTAGTAGTATTGCCACTCTCAACACTAGATATATTTGTCTCTTGAAGTATAAAATCTCCAGTGAACAATTCACGAAAATACCATGGTAGTTGTTCTGTGGCCGTTGTACCAGCATAAGCTTTCTCAACAAATAAACCTTGATTGCATAATGTGATTGAACGTAATTCAGTGAGTGCCATAAGAATTCTTGGCCAGTATTGTTGATGTTGATGATGTTGGTGTTGTTGCTGATGCTGGTGTTGTGATATTCCATTGATATTCATGGAACGATTTGATGCATTAGAATGATTCAATCGATTGAAACGAATTTTTCGTATACGATTAGCATAACGATTAAATGTTTCCAATAGAATATCTTGAGTATGTTCAACAGTTTCACAATCGGTTAAACCATAACGATCTGTAAATAAATAAACATGAAGAAAATCAATGCTGGTTACTTGAAAAATGAAAAGTTGACTTTACAGTGATAGATAGATAAGTTTCAACTGAAACAACATAATATGGTTAAGTCATTCGTACTTCATTTAATCAATGGTCAGTCAGTCAGTTACAATGTAGAACATCATACGTACATTTGTACATAAGTTCGAGTTGCCATACTTACTGTTGGGGACGTTAGATCCCCCAGAACTCGCTTCATAAATGCCTTAATTTGGATTTCACGTTTCCGAGCATGGGCTGAGCAGTTGACCTTGAGATTTCATTTCTCACCAGCAAAATCTTTGGCTGTGATTGACTGCTGTGTACTTTAGTGTGCTATTTTTGTGACTGTCTCAAAGACGTTTCTATGATGTATAAATAGACGAGATTTGTGTACCTCATTGCATTGTGCTTGCTGGGTGTTTGTAGAATATACTTTCTGCGTTACATCAAGACTTTTCATTAGTCAGCATATCAGGGTAGCCTACATGGACGCTTGTTCATTGTCTCGTTCGTGTTTATCGACTAAGGTGAACCCGTAATAGTTTCAAGCGTACCTACTGACCAACCTAACACATACCAAATTAGCACAGAGACAGACAATTATCAATTCAAATCCCACAGTATTAGACGTCAGTAAAAGTATTAACAGTAATCGGAGACAGTAGGGTTTGAAAATATTAATATTCAAGAAGTAGAATCTAGTGAAATAAACTCGAAAAGAGAAAGATAAAGGTGATGTGGAATCCAAAGGATCAAAACCATTAGGTGATATTCAAAATACTCCGCACTTTTTATCTATTTATACAAGTGAGTTGCGTGAATAGCCCTTAAAATGGGGGTACATTTTCTCATAAAAACATGAACACTTGGCTATTTATGATTGATTATGTGACTGATACAAACCTTCAAAATAAATGCATGGAAAATAAGAATGAATGAGTAAGCTAACAGCAGCTGATATGTGGAAATACTAGTTAATTCTTGTATTGTGAGATTTAAAATGAAACTTATCCACTAAGAGGAATCAAATTCAATAAACATTCATATGTTTATGTTATAGTGAGTTACACTGAGGTGCAACAAAACTAATAAACGATACCTATTTATGTAAATTAAATGAGTATTGACCATTTGTGTAGCTGCTACCTTGACGTGATGGTCGGGCTTGCCTATCGTGGTGACCCAACCGAGCTATATTGGTTGGAACATATGTTCCTGAAGTTCCTACAATGTCAGGCAGGTCGATTAGAGAACAATGACACTAAAAGCAGCTACTCAAGTTCTGAGGGCGAAGTCGTACTGCTGACTGTAGAGGGGTGTGACAGCAGTAAGATGTTTCCCTCGGACAGCTAGCATCTGCAGCGATGCTGCCTTCTCACAAGGAAGGAAGTGTTAGAAATGGTCTACCGTAAAATTATCACACCTCACCTTGCCTCACGGATCTCCGTCTCCGGCGGTAAGGCCTTTTAAACAAGAGCGGAGCTAGCACTATAAAAACTTCTCATAAAAATGCCGTGAGTGACCAGCCTGAAGCAGTTGTCCCTTGGACTCTGCGATCACGCTCCCAGGTCACTAAGACCGACACTAATTCAACTTCTTTCTCAGGTTCCTCAAGAAACACCCTTCGACAGTATGGGCAGCCAGGAAGTGACATCCGCCCTCATACCCGTAACAGCACATGTGACTGATTTGAGTAAGTGACCAATACTCAGATTCTTAGCCTATCTTAACAAAACATACAAATTTCATGAACAGAAACCAGAATAATATTTAATTGACTAACATTCGTTAAACGGTTAAATCAGTTCCGACTGGAAGCTCAGATTTCTGCTAGGCTTAAATATCCGTTTGATTTTTTCTGAATTCTGAACACATAAGAATATCAACTGAAGACTTCAATAATCATATCATTTAGATACTACTATTTTGTACAACATCACTAACTACATTCAATTAAAAATCGTTAATCTAAATTGTATTCAACAAAATAAAATAACCAGTTTACTAAATCATAAACAGAAATATTTTTATTTGTGTATAAAAAGATAAGAAATAATATTATTTTACAAACTATAATCAATCCTAAAATAAAGCATATCTGAAGGGAAGATTATATATATATATATATATATATATATATATATATTTATAGAGAGACTATATAAAAACGTGCATCAATAGTTGATGACCTTAATGTGAATTATAAATTGTGACCCTTTTTAACAATGATTATCGATTAGCTATGCAGTTTTCTTTGCTAAATAAACTAACTCTATTGCTAAATAGATTAGTATATGTAGGGCAGAAAACCAGAGAATCACGAAAGAAATTCATACATTCATTCAGTTTGTCTTATTAGTAAGTAAACGTTTATGTTAGTGCAGTGTGTGTGTGTGTGTGTTTTTATGATAATTAAGTAAAGCAAAGACACACTTTTATCAACGTTTTTTCTTCTTATTCTTCTTCTTCTAAGGAATAATAGAAAAAAAGTTTATGCACAGAGAGTAAAATAAAAAACATTTGCTAGAGGTCGACTTATTTTATAGACAACGTTTAGCTATATAATTCGACATAATCTATGTTTATATTTCACATATATATGTATATATACATATATATGGAATGAGTCGACATTTCATGGTGGTCTTAGTTGGATCGATGTAAATCACTCAGCTCACAGAAATGTGAATCTGTCAGTACGTAGAGATAGATATATAAGATGTTAATTTAGCCAATCACAAATAAGCTGAACACTCATTATATGATTAATGACAGTTATTCATCAGTTTAGTTAAGACCATTCATTAAAATACCGGCTACAATAATGTAGGTCAAGTAAAATTACTATCAAATAAAACAGATGAATGTAACTCATTTTTACCAAGTGAAGATCGATGCACTTGTTTGTAAAGTGTATTTAACGTGTGACACTTAGTCATGAGTATATATATATATATATATATGTATATGCATTACGGGGTTGTGAAGATTGTTAAGTTACACATTTTTGAAATCATGAATCGATTAATGTTAGACCACCATTAGAAACCTGGAAGCATTGGACGGCCGTTTCGTTCTGGTATGGGACTCATCAGTGGTAGTGCGCATCCACGACTCCTGCATCTAGCAGGACTCGAACCCAGGACCTTCGGTATTGTACGCGAATGCCTAACCATCGTACCACTGAGCCGGTATCTAACGGTGTTAATGTCTAACTTGATCAATTCACGGAGTTGCGCAGCTTCATACACAGTCTTCGGTAGTTACTGTCTACACCCGAACAGGTTGAACTTCACGGGTCACGTCTTCACACTAGAACGCGGAGATTTCTCACGAAGCTAGTCACTAGTGAGCACAGGTTATTTGCATTACGGGGTTGTGAAGATTGCGAGGTTCAAGTATCATGGATGCGCACTGCTGATGAGTCCCATACCAGGACGAAACGACCGTTCAGTGTTTCGTTTCTAATTGTGGTCCAACATTGATCAATCCATGATTTCAAATACATATGTATCATACAAAATGAATTAAGGAAATATTCGCTTTTAATGTATTAATTCATTTGTGCACACATATATACGATTGATGTGAATCTTCATAAGCTACATAAATTTTTAAAACAGTAGTAGAATCCTCTTGAAGTGAAGTGGAAATATTTGAGTTACAGAAGCATAAAGACTTAATGAATGAAAAATAACTGTAGTGAATTTGATTTTAACAATGACCAATCAGTGTGAACTACTACTGAAGATGTGACACATAGTGGTTAGGACTTTTGACTACCAGTTACTAGATCAAAGGTTCGAAGCCACCTTTGTTTACTTCCATTTGGGTAATTGGATTGCATCATTAATGATTCAAAGACAAATATACTTGGTTTTCATCTGTTTTCTAGTTCGCACTATTAACCGACTTCATTAAGTTCAACAATCACTAAAATCCAGTGGCTGCTCGTTACCTGTTTGAGCTTAGTATGACATTTTTCTGCAGTTCGTCCGATTAATTCAATTATTCAATGGTTATTTGAATTTTCTCTTTGATTGTTAAAACTGTAAATTAATCAGTTTGTTTTGATATATGTACATCCCTGTGCTGATTCTTTAAAATGTTATTAAGTTACAAGAACTAGAAGTAGAAATGGGTGGTATCTAGCAGAGGGATCCAAGATACCCATTTGGTCCTATTTGGCACATATCAGCTGGATATATCAGCATCTTGAATACGGAACTCACACTCAGTATTATACGCTTTAAACGCCTTTTGCCTTATGCGCAGGTACGAAAGAGGCTGATTAACTAAAGTCCTAAATATCAGTGAAAAGATTCAATCAAGTAGTATAAACTAAATAAAATTCACCATTTTTGTTTATGTGAACTGATTAGCTAAATTGATAACTTGATGGCGTTTGAAGTGAATGACACTTGGTTGAAGTCACGAAGTGAATATGCACACTGAGATACAAGTACATGGAAGTTGATGTGTGTCAAACAGAGTGGAACATGCAGCTTGAATTTGTTATGTTCGTCACTGGGTATGCTTGAAACTATTACGGGTTCACCTTAGTCGATAAACGTGAACGAGACAATGGACCAGCGTCCACGTAGGCTACCCTGATCTGATGACCAGTGAAAAGTCTTGATATAGCGTAGAAAGTATATTCTACAAACACCCAGCAAGCACAATGCAACGAGGCACACAAATCTCGTTTATTTATACATGATAGAAATGTCTTTGAGACAGTCACAAAAAGAGCACACTAAAATACACAGCAGTCAATCACAGCATAGGATTTTCCTGGTTGGAAATGAAATTTCAAGGTTAACCGATCAGCCCATGCTCGCAAACGTGAAATCCAAATTAAGGCATTTATCATCCCCTACAGAATTCCACTGTTAGACACTATCCATCACTGTTAATAAATTATGATTTTAACTGAATAAGATTATCAATAATCGGATTTTTTTTTGATATAAAAATGAAAGGATATGCGATTTAAATTTTATTATTATTATCAACATACCTGGAGACATTAACAAAATTGATGTCATTAGTGCAACTTCTGTTTGATCAATTTCAAGACGTGCTAATTTCAGCGCTACTGCACGTATCATTTGAGCACATTTCACATCAGAACAACCTAATTGAGGATAAATATTATTTGGAATGATCGGTGCAACATTAAGCGGTTGATGTGATGGTGGTATTGGCGGTGGTGGTGCAGTTTGCACAGCACTACTACTACTACTACTACTACCAGCATCTATGGATTCATATGAATTTGTGGTTGCAAATTGTACTTTATTCTGTCCATTTGATTCAACTAGACCATGTGAAATAGCTATACGACTTAATAAATAAGCAGCACGTAAAGTGATGATATCTAAACAACAACCATGCAATAGACGTGTTTGATCATTAGCATCCAACTAGAAGAAATAAGAAGAAGATGAAGAAGAAGAGAAAGAGAGTATAAATAAAACAATCTGTGAAAAATATGATGTACGAAAAAAGGTACAATGGTATTCAGTCAGTCAAACAGTCAGTTACAACGTAGAACTTTGTACATGAGTACATAAGTTCAGGTATAATTGTAGTGAATGAGAATACAGGTGGGGCAACCGAATTGTATTTAATAAAAATTACAGAGTTACTCAGTAAAATCGAAAAACCATATCGTAAATCGTTCATTTGCAAAAGATCAGTTCATCCTATGGAACTTGACTGTTTCTGTTGCCAAACATCAATCCATTGTCACTATTCATGCGTTTGGTACAAATTCCATTGTTTTCTAACTCTTCCTTTCTTGATCTTCCCCCCGTATTATGCTACCAGACTTTACGTTGACACTCACGTCATATACTACTTATAAGTAGTTCGCACCACAGCACCACATAATGATATTAGTTTGTTAAGATATTTCTTGTTAATGAACGATGATAGAATTTCAATCTCTACATGTTATATTTTGTTTAAAATTGAAAAAATAACCCAACAATGTAACTGAGTACAAGTTTTACTATTCTGCTTTCAGTTACAGTTTTTGGTCAAAGGATGAATGATACAACTTAACCGTACAAGATAAGGTAGGGTAAATCCTAATTTTAACTATTGCCATTATTAATCATTTCGAATACAATTAATAAACATTTTCATCGTTTATGGAGGAATATCACTAAATTTAAAAACGTCAGTTATTTACAACGTAGAACTTCATACGTATGTACATAACTTCAGGTCGTCATACCATAATAGCACAGAGAGATGGGATTGTCAATTCTAATCCCATAGTGGAAGAGAGAAGATTAGGGTACGAAGATATTATTCAAGAAGTAGAATTCAGTGAAATGAATCTAGAAAGTGAATATACATAATATATATATTTATTTAGCGGGACATGGATTAAAGCACGACTACGTTAGTCTTAGCCAATCAGCGCAAGTCGATACGTGGAGTACATTCTAGAAGCTTCTCTTCTAAAAAAACTATAAAGATACTAACGTTGTTCCTATTTCGCCGTCACTTCGGCTTCTTACTTCCATTTATCTTTGCTATTCGGTATATAATCTCATCCCTGTTAAACCGTGTTCTGATTTGGGAACTTGTCGGAATAGCCGAGGTTTACTAAGTGAGAATTATAACATATATATATATATATATATATATATATATATATCACTGTTAATAATAATGTTACACACATACCAATTCGAAACCAGGAACTAATCTAGCGAATGCAACCAGTGATGCAATCATTGGTTCAATAAGTGAAGTAATTTTTGAATCTGTTGATGAAGAGTATAAAACTTTTTCCGATTCTTTGTCCACATCTTCCTTATCGATCTATTTAAGAGAAATTAGGAATGTGAATCAATAAACATGATATAATAAGACTAGTAGTATGTCTCAAAAATACATGTGCAAGAACTATAAAGGTTGAGTGTAAGGAACTGGTTATCGTAGAAGGTTGAGAAAAACAATAAGGTCAATAGATGGAAATATAACATTGAACCACAGTGATCGGTGATTTCAATCATACCGATAGGTGAAGACTTCTTGGTGACAACCTGTACAATTGTAACGGAGTCAAAATCACTATATATGATGTTGCTAACTCGTTCTGTTTTCTTTCTGTTTCAGGGCGATCAAACACAAACGCTTTGGAAGCTGAAGAACAAGCCCTGAGTGCTCTAAACTTACAGGATGACTCATAAGACATTGGTACACTACCCACCCTATTCCTGTAAAAACCCCGCGTATTTGATTTTCACATAAACGAGTGCCGTGACAACAACTTCGTGTTCTCTCTTGGTGTGAGGTGTTGAACTAACCTTGTGTGTTGTGATTTTAGATCCTCTCTGCCCTTCAGTGACTGCTGATTACGCATGTTACACAACACTTCTAGTCAATGATAATATTATGTTAAATGAAATTGGAGCAGTGGCAAAGTGTCATCCATTATCTTCCTTCTTGTCATCGTTAACAGTTCAGTTTTTATTAATCTTTGTTATGTTTAAACTGTTTCTCTCAAGTATTGATTTCTACGACACAACAGAAATCAACTCTTCTACTTTGCTTAGCATCTTGTAATAAAAAAATTTCTGTTACATTCTAAGATAACTATAAGTGACTTGATCTAACATATTGGTTATCATAAAACTGTTTGCCTTATATGTAAAGCTGAAGATACTATCAGAGTAATAGATATTTTTCTTAAATCTCTCATATGATCATACTTCTTGTTATAAGCGATTTTTTACCTGAAGTAACATGTTTAATTAAACATCGACTCCCTACACAACTACAGAGAAATATTCCAAAGTGTGAGCTAAAACATCAAACTATACTATAATATCATTGGAATTATGAATCGATCACTATTAGACCACCATTAAAAATTTGAAAGCACTAGATAATCGTTTCGTCTTCGTATGTGTCTCATCAGCTGTGGACGTCCACAACCCTCACACTCGCGACAACCAAACCCAGAACTTTACGTGCGAACACTTAGCCTATACATCACTAAACTTATACTACTTAAATAGCATTCAAACTCATGTACAACAATTATTCAACAATTATCCAACAATACCTTTCGTTTGAAATTTGGATTCAACATATTACTATAAGCTTGAACAATAGAATCAACCATATTTTGATCTTCTGTTGTCCATGGATAATCGTTGTAAACTGTTTCATTTGAATCCACATTACTATTATTATTATTATTATTATTATTATTATTATTATGTTTAGTTAATGATTGATTGATTGTTTGTTGATCAGACGACAGTGATTTACTTTTCTCAGGTGTTACAGGTGAATATTGTTGTTGAAGCATATGATCTGTATTGATTTGGACATTATTATTATGATTATTGGTATTAGTATTATTATGATTATGAATTCGGTTCTCATCATCTACAATTTGAGCATTCACACTTGACTGACTACTGGTATTGTTTTGTTTGCCTAGTAAGTTAACATTGTTATTTTCATTAGAAATTGACGTAGTTTTATTATTGATTTGCATTGATACATTAGGCATTTGGATTTTATGCATAGATTCTTCAAATAATAATGGGAATTTAGAATGATGATGTTGAGGAGTAGTAGTATTAGTAGCAGCAGTACTAGTAGTAGCATTTTGTGTATAACATTGTGTATATGCAGCCCCGTATATTGGATGACAATATATGTTATTGGGTATAGTGGTGATTTGTAATTTATCAACTGTTTGAATAGGTTGTACAAATAATGGTGTCTCATTCGCAATTGGATAAGTTGTATTCAATGTTGTTGTTGTTGCTGGAAGAGGAGGAGGCGGCGGAGGCCGAGGAGGATTCATAAATGAATGACCAGCATTGTTAGTGGTCACTTCTAAACAACGTGGTTGCATAGGATTTAAGTCAAATTGACTTTGAGGTAGTGAATTGAGTGTGTATTGATTTGTAAAATGAATATTAGGCTGAATTGTAGAATCGTAAGGTATAGTTGACATAATAACCGGTGTAGTAGAGATAGTGTTCAATGCAGAAATCGATTGATTATGAATGAAAGGATAGTTCGGCATAGAATTCGAATTTGGAATATCACGGACAGTGATTGATGCATCTGTAACATATTTAGCAGTGGTAGGAACACTAGCAGAGGCTTCTATAGCAGCTTCAGCTCTTTTACGTGCTCTATTCGCTTCGATTAGACGACGTTTAGCTAAACGTTTATCTTCATCAAGTACGACTAGTTGAAGAGTAATTGGTTGTTTTTAATTTAAAAAAACAAAGAAAGACAATGTAAATATTTAATTAACTTAAAATCAAGTTCATTGGATCATATAAGAATTGTAAAATTCAAATCAGAAGTGTGCAGTGATGTACGGGTCGATCTTAGTACATCTAGATCGTACTAGGCATTTCGGTACTATGCCAGAAAATGTATGTTTAGTTTCTGCTCTTACGAGGGCAGGTGACTGACTAGCAATGCGTTTACACGGCATTTTTATCCGTAGGATTCTGCAGTTCATCTAAATCATTAGTTTGAAATGAAGATTTTCCAACTCCTCTGCCTGGATCGTCCGTACCCACTAGCCTTGTTTGTGTGTTGGACATTAGCTTTTCGTCCTCTCAATTTTGTGAACACTACACTGGTCATGAGAAGGTAACGAGTAGAACTCCTTTGACAGTGGCTATACACCCGTTTCCGTATAAGAGGATCTTGAGAAGGAGAGCAGACTCTCTTTATTATGGACTGTACCAGGATGGCATTTTGAGATTGATAAGTCACATTTTATAGAAATCGTCGAGATGCATCACAAATCATGCCTTAAATTAGAATACTCCAGACAAAGTAAAAGAGGTAGACGAAAGGTCTTGGATGCAGACTTCAAAAAAAGTGAACAGTACTTGGGAACAACAGAATAATAAAGCTTAGGCTAGATTTGGTCGGATATCTGTGAGATTGGTGGCCTATACTCTATATGATGAGTAACGGGTATAAAAAAACTATAGAAACTCATTAAATTTTATTGAAAGGAATGGTTCCTTTAGACGCCCACATGTTTTAATCCAATAGGGATTTTAAAACTACTCTTGTCTTCAGTTGATCAGTCTTTCTCACATTCTCATAAGGATCGATCAATATGTTAATCAATAATTCAAAGGGTGTCTCTCATCAACTTGTAGTTAAAGTTAATTTTTATTGGTAACTGGAAAAGATGGATAACATTTTAAACTTTCTAGGTTAATGATAAATAGATTATCGAATTTTAAAGGTACTGTACCATTTGAGTGAATACATCTACTACTCACTAAACAACAACTATTGTTCTCTTCAAAAAAAATTCTGTACTACATTACATTACGCATCCTGATTTGTTTTCATGTCAATATATTAATCGATTCCCAACTCTCAAATGTGTAAACCTAGTTTATTTTATCAATATCAATAATATACATATTTCATAGTGTAATATAATAATAAAGCTACGTGTATTGTGTCCTTCCAATCAGTACACATACACTACTTAATTCAATAGATTAATGCATACTACTTGAAATATTTCACGTAGCATATGATGAGGCATTTAATCACTTTGAAAAAAAGATAAGATCGTGATTAATATTAATATTAATATTATTATTATTTGGTAGTAGTAGTGGTAGTAGTAGTAGTAATATGTATTGTTATTCATTCACACACAGACAAGTGTACACACATTTGAAGACCAGAATTTGTTTGGTCGTATCAGGCTACATTATTCATAATTGATAATAATATTATATATATATATATATATATTGCGTATATCTAGTTTCATAATATGTAGTAAGTAACTTGGTACATGTACACATGTACACAGTGACACTTTAGTAAAAAAAAAAGACTGTCATCGCATTGATTTTCGGTGAAATGATTTCAATCAGGTGACCTCAATTAATAACACGCCTGATTTGTAATTTGATAGACGCATGAACTGTGTGAAATGAAATTAAGGCCTAAACACTGATTGACCTACACAGAGTGTGTGTACGTTATCAATGCAGTTATCAGTAAAATGTGATTTAGGTGAATTATGAATAATATTGACCGAATTTCCAGTGCGTGTGTATGTATTTGTGTGATAAGAGAATCGAATCAAAAATGTTTAATTGTATACAATATCAACAAACCGACAGGATAACTTACGATCTCTAGCCATTCCACCGCTGATACATCGGTCGAAGCGACATTTTTGACAACTGTTTCGATTTTGTTTATCCGATACGGAACAGTTACCTTGAAATTTACATGTGTAAATTAATTTCTTTTGTATTGAACGTCGAAAAAATCCTTTACATCCTTCACATGTCATAGCACGATAATGAAATCCAGTGGCATTGTCACCGCATACAACACATGGTTCAGGACCGGCTAAAGGATCCATATAACTTGGAATGTAAGGTTCTCCTGTAGAAAACAAAAAAATTGATAATAAGCCATATAGATTAAAATGTACATAGACCATATGATTGACGTAGATTATACAAGGAAATTTTGTTTAAATGAATACTGAAAGACTTAGTTAGTCAGCTATAATGTAGAACTTCGTATGTAAGAAGTACATCAGTTCAAATTGTCATACGACATTAGCACAGAGATCGCATTGTCAATTCAAATTCAATAGTGGTAGATGTAGTACAAGTATTAGTAGTAATGAAGATTAAGGTTCGAAGATAGGATTCGACAATTAAAATGAATTTAAAAAAAGTAAATTTGGAAAGAGAAGGAAGGTCATAAGCAATTATGAAGATTCGGTTTTGAAAGAAAGCAAACGATTTTGAGACATGTTATTCAAAGTCTCTCTTGTCTATTGTCTCGCAGACCTTAACCAGGTGTAGTCAACAACTACTAATGTGGCTCAGTAGAGTTGTCAGAGGACTTCATGGATTTGTGTCATGTTTTGAATTCGATGACTCTGTCCAACCTACTGCTACATCAGACAACATCACTCGTCGAGGTAGTCGACGGTTAGGCGTATGTAGCACATGTTCCAACCATATCAACCGATGATAATTCACTATTTCATTAATTGATATGCCTTCCTTAACTAATACTCTTTTCTCAACCCCAGCACTGCTTACTGGATGGTCCCACAGTATACGAGTAATGCTTGGAATGATCGAAAACCAGCAACAGACGAACATCTAGTCTGACTCTCCATGTTTCACAGCCATAAAGTAGAACAGAGCGAACGGCTGGTTAGCAGAAGGATATCTCACCTATGCCATAAATTACACAGATCAACAAAAGGCAGTCGGACCTTCTGTATCCATGTTGAGATTTCTTCACACACCAAGCCATCAGGACTAATAAGACGCTCAAGATAAGTGTACATATGTATATCAGTGAATAGAACAAAAATTTACTGTTACATAAACTGAAATGCTAAAACAACTTGTCAGAAAACTAAATGCTATACATGTTATGTACATCTTATATCCACTATGATTTAGCTCAGTTAATAATAATTCAATAACTGAAGTCAAATTAAAGCTTAAATAATTAGGTAGAAGTATAGAGCTTTCAAAATCAAATTTAGTTTTTGCAAACTTTTCTGTTTTAATTGATAACTTCAGTTGATCATTCTGTACAGTATGTACTACAACAAGTTTATTCATAATATATTAACGAAACCGAAAGTGTTCAATTATCAATCTTTTATATTAAATTGCATCAATCTACCAATCAAATTAATCATGGAAACATTAACCTTGAAATTTTTTGTAGTAGTTTATTCCTTATCGATTTACTTTTAATTCTCATATATTCTTCAGCTTATCTAGGGAACATTGTTCTTATTTTAATTAGAAATAAAAGACAGACATGTTAATTCTTCTTGGAATTATGTAGAAAAAAACAACGCTACATTTATTGATCAATTAATAATATATTGAAAATCATTCACTCAAAGAAATATAATGAATATACAATTTCAATGATATAACCAAAAACATATACAAACAGACAATAAGGGATTAGTTTTTTGATAGGTTAATGAGTCACATACAAACAAAAACAAACGAGGATACGAATCTTTGTCATACATACTACAACTAATAGTGAGTGCATGAAAGAACTCAAGTTATCTGTTTGAAATAAAACTCCAGACAGTAGATAATGATGATGATGAATGATTGATTGATTTATATCCGACATAACCTTCACCTCTCACTTTCTGTCTATCTGTGTCTCTGTCTCTGTCTAACTAGAGAAAGGCAATAATATAATATGAAAATGGATGAAGTCTCATTCAGGTCAGACATTTTTATGAGTTTATATGTTCGTGTACACAACTACTGACTGACCCCATCGAATGCTGCATGAACATACATATGTTGTTTTTTTTTAGAAAAAAGGTTTAATACATAGAGTTCAGTCAATAATTAGACAAAAAAAAGTGAGTAACTCTACCAATAAGAACAACGCTCAAAATGTACATTATTTTGATGAGATATTGGTGTTTACGGTGAACTTTAACATCAGCAATGTGGTTAGCGTTTTATTTTTAGTGAGTTAGTTTTTCGATGGGGATGGGGTCGCGAACCTCACTCTCAACCCACCTGCTTGATCCGGACTGGCAGTAGCTCCAGACAAATGGAATAAATTTTATTCCCGTTACGACAAGGTAGGGGCTGTTTGCCTAGTAGATAACTTGTATTTTGTTTGCAAAGAAATGTGCTTCCACGGTGTGGGCAGTCGGGAAGTGACATCCGCTTTCATACCAATAACATCACCATTCAGATATTCTGAATTCGTCATCACCTCCATCTTTCGCTTTTCTAATTTTATCTCAATGAATTATACTTGCTCAATCATATCTTCGAACTGTAATCTTCTCCACGACGGCTAATAATTTTACTGCATCTACCACTATGTAATTTAAACTGATAATTGCGTGTTAATGTGGTATAGTAACCTGAACTGATGTACGTACATTGTAACTGACTGACTGAAATGTACTAGGTTCGGGTCTTGGTATGAATATCAACATTACAGTGAAGATAAATCCAGTTGACGAGTCTCACATACGATGAGATGTACGTATGAGGGTGGTTGTCACTTCCCGACTGCCCACACCGTGGAAGGTTGTTTCTTGAGGGACATGAAGAAGAAGATAGATTAGTGTTGGTCTTACAGACCTGGGACCGCAGAGTCCAAGGGACAACTGCTTCAGGTCGGTCACGCACGACCTTCTTATAAAAGTTTTTTTGAGTATTATCTTCGCTCTTTTTAAAGCCCTTAGTGGGCACCCTTACCCAAGGAGACGGAAATCCGTGAGGCAAGGTGAGGTGTGACATTTTTAGGGTCGACCTTTTCTAACCCTTCATTCTTTGTGAGAAGGCAGCATCGCTGCAGATGCTGGTTGTCCGAGGGAAAAACCTTACTGCTTTCGCACTCCTCTTCAGTCAGCAGTACGACTTCGGCCTCAGAACTTGAGTAGCTGCTTTTAATCTCATCGTTCTCCAATCGACCTGTCTGGCATGGTAGAACCTTCAGGAACATATGTTCCAGCGAATATAGCTCGGTTGGGTCATCACGATAGACAAGCCAGACCACCACGTCAAGGTAGCAGCTAGGGTCGGGAGAAAGAAACCTGGAAACACTGGACCACGGTTTCGTCCAGTGCGTATCCACGACTCTTGCTACTCGCATGAGTCCAACTCAGAACCTACGGTCTTGCTAACAAACGCATAACCTCTGTACAAAACGGTCGTCCAGTGCTTCCAGGTTCCCAATGGTGGTCTAACGATGATTGATTAATTGCCTTAATAAATAACAATCTCCATAACTCTATAATGAGCAAACATTAAAATCAGCTTCACTAATTCATTTAAATAGTGCGACCATTCACGAAAATTCTAAAAACAGAATTTATACCATTGAATAATCTAATCCAGGGGTTATTCAGTGATACATGTTTAGCTGAGGTAGATAATAATAATAATTATAATACAAGAGAATTCTTTACAGTATATGTATACAACAGTCAAATAGTTGATTCGAAAGTTTATACTAATTTCAATATATCAAGAAATGTTGACTACATTTGACACTTTTCATAATTATGTAGTTTTAACGTTACCAGTACTGCAGTGATGCATATTTTCTTCAGTGTATTAGTACAAGATTGACTAGTTATACTTTTGAGATAAGAGTTAACATCATACTAACACACTGAAGTGAAGGTGAAGTGAAATTTTTGATTAAAACTCTTGTGATATATAGATTGATGGTAAGATTATTTTAACTTGAGTAGATTTGAAACAATAAAAATAACTGTTCGATTTACGGTCATCTAATTATGATGTTTTAGGATTATTTTCAATTAGAGTTATGGAGATTAATGTTTTTACACATTTGAAATCATCGATCAATTATTGTTAGATCACCACCATTAGAAACCTGGAAGCACTAGACGACCGTTTCGTCTTGGTATGGGACTCACCAGTTGCAGTGCGCATCCATGAATCCTACATCTCACAGGATTCGAACCCGGAACCTTCAGGATTGTGAGCGAAAGCCTAAATTAAATTATGTTTCAATAAATCAGTCGGACTATCTTATCATTTTGTCGTGTGCATGAGAGGGTTATGGAGGTTGTTGAGTTACTTTTTTTAAATCATGAAACGATCAATCTTAGACAACCATTAGAAACTTGGAAAAAGATCGTTTAGTTCGTGTATGGGACTCATTAGCAGTGCACATTCAGGACACCTGCTAATCTCAGGATTCGAACCGAAGTACTTCAGTCTTGCACGTGAACGTTTAACTTCTGGACTACGTGAGCCTGTATTTTATTATGGAAAACATTGACAATTAGATGAATTCGGTGACTGACTGTCATAGGTGACAATTTGGTTGTAGCCTTTATTCATATTGTTATTTGTTCATGTATTAGAATATAGTGTCAATGAAATTTTGTAGACTTCACTGCTTCCATAAAAAATTATAATTCAATACCATGACTGCAGTAAGTGTATTAATTATCGACGTATTTCTGACAAACTACTACACCAACTATATTCCATGACTCTGTGGGCTGATGCTAGGTCTTCCTTAACTCCTAGATTTCTTTCAACACGCACCTACACTACCGAAAACCAAGCGTTTAGCCATTCGGAACACATGTACTAACAACCGCAGTTAATGAGCCATCACAGAGTTATCAACAAATTTACTTACTTTGTCTAATATCATACATTTCACTTCAACACTGTGTACACGATTGTATTACTATAATGCTTGTAAAATATTTACTACTTTTAATAGCCACATATATATATTAAAAGAGAAGAATACTGATGAGAAATATATATTCACTCTACAATAGACGGACAATAACTCACATAAAAGTAAAAAAAAACAATACAACCTGATTCGAAATAGAAAGGTTGGTTAGTTGTGCG